CCAGGTTCTGGTGTCCCTGATATGCATGCAAGGCAGGGGAGAGATTGAACATTGAAATTTAAGCTCAGATACTGTTAAAGCTGACCAGCTTTGGAGCATGCTCCGAGTCTTCAGTGGCGCCCAGAGTCCACAGACAGTCCCCGCTGCAACATTATCCCCAGGTACGGGTTTTTAGTATCTTCACTGTTACTTGTTACCTCACCCTATAGGTCACCTCCGCAGCATTTCAGTACGCCCACACGTGGGATCAGTCCAGTTAACCTATTTGCCTGCTCATTGCCAAATACGCCTGAATAGCCCCGGCAAAATATCCGAATGACACATACCAACTCCGATCTCTGGATTGAGACGACCCATTCCATTCGAAAAAACCCTTCTCCACCATCCTGAGCTGCTTTGCGAGTCTAATACTATGAAAGTATGTGTGGCTGAGATTGTTTCCACTCATCAGAATGCATCAGTTGCCGCCTCAACCTCCATTCTCATGCTGGGTCTGATAATTGTGTATGCTATGATCTCCTTAGCCATCCTTGTCTCCCATGCTTTCGTCGTGAAGCCTGATACACTCTTTCTACCAGTAGACACTGACCTATCAGTGTATATAATAACATCTCCTGGCCTAGAGTTGCGCTCTGTCAGTTGTTGAACCTCAACGTCTGCATGGACTGCCGCCATTTCCCTATTAGAGCACTGATTTCAGCGACTGAATATATCAGGAAAGAGAAGTATTTTTCCTCATGGAAAACTAGGCAGTCAAGAATATTGAGACTGTCAGTATGTTTATCTCCCGTGTGGGTTCCGGGGTCCCATTGTGGGGAAAACAAGAATAGACCCACTGCCTTCCCAAAAGCATGTCGTAAGAGTCGACTAATTGGGGAGCTTCCTTTGAAGTCGGAGTGCATCTGCCGGAGAGGCAAGGAACCAACGGTCTGTATTCAAGAGAATGAGATCTGTAAAACTGATTCACACGCAACACTCAGGTTCTGGAGCAGGACTGCAGTTCAGTAGTGGACGAGCAACCAGAACCTCCCGCCAGAGTTTACAGCTGGTGAACGCGAAGAAGAAGAAGAAGAAGTATGTTTATAAAAGAGCTCATTACAGGTTCTCCTGTGTGTCGGTAAGCATCTACAAAGTCTAGTCTGTTTTAAAGGAATGTTTGATAACGACATAAAGATCATATCATCGATTTATAGGAAGGTGATATGTTGCCAGACTGTTCGCCAGCAATGAAGTAAACCATTCACTCGAAAAAGAGAGAACCAGTTCTGCAATTGTAAACTTTACAATTGCAGTGTCATTCGCTTCGTCTATGTCGTCTGACATTTTCTTTCTTTGTTACTTAGTCCAACAGTTTCCTTTGTGTATTCAACTACCATATGCTTTAATAGGCAGAATATAGTACACGAACCGTCAACGTTTTTTTTTTTTTTTTAGAACAAAGGGCTCTGAGTTTCTTTCAACGAAGCAAATTAAAACATCGAAATGATCCTTGCTGTAATGGCTTTCAATCAATGTTAGAGAACGTACTTAACCTCATGTTTATGGTATCGATTACCTTCTGTTTTGTGCTGTCTGAGACACCCTGAATTGCAAGTGCAAAATGTTTGTTTTCAGCAACCTCTTTGTGACCCTAGATTTTTAAATATAAATGTCTAGTTTGGGCCTGCCAAGCTTTTCTCAATTTTTTTTCCATTTCACGTATAACAGCTTATGCACATATTTTCTCTCTCTGCCAAATCTGTTCAAGGGAAATATGCTGTCTAGAATTGCTCGGAACCTTTTCTTTGTTTTACCCTGTTATAGCACTTCAACGGAGTCTGGACTATTTGTGCAATAAACGCCCCTGGCGCATTCTGGCTGAAAGCTTTTCGATTGTGCCAATGGAGCAGTATCCGCTGTGATTATGTGAATATGCAATCAATTGCAGGCTAGGAGGGGCTGAAAAGTGTTAGCCAAGGTGGCTGAGCTAGCGCTGTACTGTGGCTAAACATACCTTCATCGTTTGAATCAGTTTTCATCATTTAGGATTCTTGCATCTATTTGCTCTTTTATGTGTGTGTTTCATTCTTACTTTTTCTCTGTTATAGTACTATTACGTTTTGTGTTTTTTCCTGTCATGCATTAAAATTTTTCACTTCTTTATAAGTTACACTGTCTATATCGATCTAGTGGTTCCATTACATGCATGCATATTTTAAACGAAAATTTGCAATGAACTGAAAGTGGCTATTCTTCGTCACCTCCTTTTTACCGCATCAGGTGTCAAAAGAGATATAAGCTTCTGCTTCTGGCTCGTGTGGCCACCTTAACCATAAACACATCGTGCTGTTGTAGAATTCCACTGATGGTATCTTTCAATCTTGTTCTTGGTCCACCTCGTGCTCTACGTCCTTTTCCTCTTTTGGTGTATGGTTTGTATGGTATAGCGTCACGAGGAATTCTCTCAAAGTGGGCAAACCAATTGATTTGCTGTCTTTAAATGCGATTTAGAATTTGTGCTGTGCCGACTTTTTATCTTATGCTTCATTCCGGATTTGGTCTCATCTGATCACACCCCTGTAGTTCTTTTTAGACGTCTCATTTTTATGGTTACTAAATTTCTGGTTTGTCTTGAGTGTCCGTGTCTGGCACTGGTAACATAGGGTTGCAATGGATATGTTTGTATGAGATGTTTCTATCCCCTGACTGCGATTATGTATCTTCTGTTGTAAGAGGCTAACAATAACAAAAAAGGGATGGGGAGGGAAGAGGGTTCTACCTGTCCAAATACTTGGCTACAGACATCCATCCAGGTGAGGAGTGGATACCAGAGTCTAAAGCGCCCAATCTCACATTCTCCTGTGTCGTGACGATAGGAGTTGTCGGGCGCAGAATCCAGCTGCTGTCAATGCCGAAGTATGCGCGCTTATTAGTGACAAGTCAGATGAGACATGTTGTGATCTTCACAGACGGGTCCGTTATACGAGGACATAATAGTGCATGGGCATTTACAGCTCGCTCTTCAGGCAGAACAGTTCAAGAAGCCAGCGGTACCTTCTCCATGACGACCAGCAGCATGACGATGGAGGTGATGGTGGTGACACAGGCTTTCATGTGGCCGGGATCACAGGTCTATTCCCACGTGTGTCTGCTGAGTGATTCTTTGAGTATGATCCGGCGGGTCGAGGCAGGCTGGTTACGCAGCACAGTGGCTTAAGTCCTTGCAAGATTCTCCTGTGTGTTCAATTACTTTAATATTCGTCCCAGGTATGCAGGCGTTGTTGGTAATGAGAGAGCTGATAGACTGGCAGGTACTGCATTAATTGAAGATGGCCGGCCCATGGATCACGCTGACATTGTCATTGCCCTTAGAGAGATAGGACGTTCTGAGGATTTTGGAAGCAACGTGTCAACATCACTTCTAATAATACGCGAATTGGAAGTAAAGATCGGCACAGCCAGCATGACAAGTACACTAGACACACACGAAGTCTTGTTAACCAACGTACTATTGACCGCACGACGCTGATGAATACGTTGAGAGGGGAATCTGAGAATCTATGGATGTGTCCGGAGTGCTGTGAAGATCATCTAACTCATACCTCATAACTCAAAACTTGGCTTGCTTTAATTCATCGCATGTAATTTCCTTATCCAATTTACTTCTTAGGTGAATATTGTTCTCAGATATATCTTGCTGCCTTAAGTCTTCCACGATCCCTTGTCTACACTGCTGTAAAAAGAAAAGTGGTACATTCAGATAGTTATGGCATTGGCAGATTTGTTAAGAGTGTTATTTCTGTGCGGATGTTATTGTTCCTTATACACATTGTGAAGTTAGACAGGCAACAAGATACAGGCTTATACATTTAGCAGTCGACATCCGCAAAAACTAATACTAAATTTAAACTTTTTAACTCCAGTATTTAATAATACTGCTATATATACTGGAGCAAACATGGAGGACAACTAAAACGGTTACTGGTAAACTATAAATATTTATTAACTGGTGCCTGAACCGATTACATGGAATTAAATGGTTTCAGAGAATCACTAGTGTTGAGCTCTGGGGAAGAACTAGTGATCAAGAGATGAAGAAAAGACGATGGCTTTCGATAAGACACCGGTTGACAAAACCTGAGACAATGTAACTACAAAGGCTTTACACCACTAACCCATTCATTTCCGAATGCCTGATAAAAAGATGGAATTAAATGGTACGACATAATCACTAATGTAGATATTCAATTTTTAAAAAACCCAGTGAATCAAGAACTAAAAGAAAAAAGAGGATGGATTTGGATAGGACACACAGTGAGAAAACAGAATAATATAACTAGAATGTCGTTGCACTGGAATCCATTGGAACTTAGAATAAAGGCAGAGTCCCAAAAAAGTGAAGATGGGAACTAGAGAGTGAAGTTAACAAAGTGATGGCATGGGGTAGGCTGCATACGATAGCAATGGAAAGGACGACTTGGCGTGAGCTGGTTAAGGGCCTATACTTCATTGTGAAGAAAGGACAGAAGACGGAGTCAATAATTGCATGTGTTACTATATGTGCTTGTAAACAAAATTTTTTGCCAACTTCCGTAAACAAACAGAAGTTTGCTATTGATTTCAACCCTTTTTTTTTAATTTATGGCTATACTAAACATATTTAAATTGTATTGATACCCCCCCCCCCCCCACCCTCCAATTTCGTTGCAAAAGTCATGAGTTACTGTATGTAATACATTACCTGCTATATTGACTTTCTGTTGTAAACAATATTTAAGGCAAAACTAAATATGTTTCCTCTAATTTTGTATGTCAACAGGTACAGAGAACATCCAGTGAGACAACCAAGAAAATGTATCAATGTATCAGGAACCCTTCTTCCACACCATTGCAGCAGGAATAGATTTCCTCTGGTGAATATTTGAGAGACAGGTGAGCCAGCTACACGTATTCACCCCAGGAAGCTACAAGTTGGTTACACTTGTGGCGCACACCTCCTGGGTGATGTTCCCTGTGGTAGAATGAGAGCCCTCTTGGTTGCCATGACAGGAATAGGTTTCACACTTGGTGTTGTCTTTGGTTTGCTTCTACAGTTGCCCATTGACAACACGCTGCCTGCTGATTCTACAAACCAGCAAGATAACCGACTACTGAACATTTCATCCTTTCGTTCAAGAAGTCTACGCGAGGAGTTGTTGCCAGTACAACAATTCAATCAAAAGTTTCTCGTCAAAGAATTGCCTGTAGTTTCCAATCAACATCTCAGTTTTGCTATACCAAAAGCCGAGACACATTTGAAATCTGTAGGAGAGCCCCAACTGGTTGAAATCAAGCCGGATTCATACACTGAAGCCAGTAATGCTAATCTGGTACAGCATGCAGTGCCGCAAGCTCCACAGAATGTGGCATCTCCTGCTGGTGCCAACTATTTAAGTAGACTACCTCAAATTGTCCACAATGAAAGTAGGTTTCATTACAGTCACCAGAACAGCCTAATATTCACACGTGATATGCCCAAGTTGGATATAGGAACCAGTCATCATAGCAATAATGTAGCTAGCAATAAACTAAATACCACTCAAGTAGTCAGCATAAAGTTAGCTTTGCTAAAAGCTGGCGTTCATGGGAAAGAAAAAAGAGAGGCGTTTAAATATAACAGTAATTATTCACAAGAAGATTCTTCATACATTGCTAGTATAGTTAATGGAGTTTTGTGGACTCCTCAACTAGAGGAGTCATGTCCGAAGCCATTCCTGTCTAAAGCAGCAGAGGCATGGAGGAAGCATATAGACAAGTTGGATGTTGTGAAAATGGAACAAGGGTGTGGAAGGATGCAGAATAGACTTATAACTTTCAGAGATTCATCGAAGGCTTGTGTAAGGTACCGACTAAACACAGACCAGATTCAAGGAGAAATCTATACCTACTATCTTTCGCGTTTATTGAATATGTTCAACATTCCACCTACAATGTTAGCGCAGGTAAACTCCATAGCCACAAAATGGAAAACCGTTCATCTTAAAATGTCGCTAGCCCAGTGGGCTGATTCCAAATTAGTGGTTTTAACGAAGTATATCGACGGACTCTCACCAGCCCACATTCCAACCGAGTTTCAGGAAAAAAGCAGGAGGCTGGAGCCAACATTGTCAGATCTTGGTGCTAAATCTCATGCAGATCTGTGTGAACTGGTTCAATGGTCAGATCTCATTGTGTTGGATTACCTAACAGCAAACCTGGACCGCGTCATCAACAACATGTTTAACCGACAATGGAATGACCAGATGATGAGCAGTCCAGCTCATAACCTGGAACGACGACCTGACGGCGGGCTTGTCTTTCTAGATAACGAGTCCGGGTTGTTTCATGGTTACCGCCTGTTAGACAAGTATTCCGAATTTCACCGAATGCTATTGAAATCCCTGTGCGTGTTTCGAGAATCGACAGCGGTCGCGGTGAAACGACTCTACAAGTCATCTAGTATAGGGAAAGAACTGCATAGTCTTCTGGCTACCAATGAAGTCCTTCACAAACATTTAGCAGCTATTAGTGACAAAAATGTGAAAATTCTTCAGCAACGACTAAATGACGTGTTTCAACAAATATCACAGTGCGAGCGACTCTACAACAGATAGCATTCTATGTGTTTGCTTGTTTGTTTATTTGTTTGTTGTTCAGATCTTATTTAATGTATTTAAATGTAATATTGTTACTGTAAATCCGTGTACATAGAGTGTGATATCTTTAATGTGATGGATCCATAGAAAGTTCGACGGGATGTGAATGATTACACTTAATACTGATTATATAATAGAAAACAATATTAGGGTACTGACTTTTTAGCATAAAATCTTTTCTCCTTCTTCTTCCTTCTCCTCTTCCTCTTCTTCTTTTTCTTTCTCCTCTCCCTCTCTTCTCTTCCTACTCCAGTTCTCTCTGTGTCTGTGCGTGTATGTATATATAAATATATATATATATATATATATATAATTTGTGTGAGTAAGTGACAGAGTCAGTGAGTGAGTGAGTGAGTGAGTGAGTGAGTGAGTGAGTGAGTGAGTGAGTGAGTGAGTGAGTGAGTGAGTGAGTGAGTGAGTGAGTGAGTGAGTGAGTGAGTGAGTGAGTGAGTGAGTGAGTGAGTGAGTGAGTGAGTGAGTGAGTGAGTGAGTGAGTGAGTAAGAGTGCCTTTAGCTACAAGTATCTTTCACTGTAACAATCAGAGTAAACAATTTCACACACACAGGTAACGTTATTACTATGATTGCAAAAAACTAAAATTGCTAGTTTCAACTCATTTATTTAGTGTTTCGTATATAAATACCTAATATTGTAACAACAGAGTTTTAAATCTCTTGTTGAATACATCGTGTTCGATCTTCTTCTTCTTCTTCTTCTTCTTCTTGTTCTTCTTCTTCTTCTTCTTCTTCTTCTTCTTCTTCTTCTTCTTCTTCTTCTTCTTCTTCTTCTTCTTCTTCTACTACTACTACTACTACTACTACTTCTTCTTCTTCTTCTTCTTCTTCTTCTTCTTCTTCTTCTTCTTCTTCTTCTTCTTCTTCTTCTTCTTCTTCTTCTTCTTCTACTTCTTCTTCTTCTACTTCTTCTTCTTCTTCTTCTTCTTCTTCTTCTTCTTCTTCTTCTTCTTCTTCTTCTTCTTCTTCTTCACGTCCTCTTTTACTGCTTCAGGTGCCGAGGAAGGTACAATGTCCTGCTTCATGCTTTTCTGGCTACTTCGACCATAGACACATCGTGGTGCAGTAGAGTGTCTCTGATGTTATCTTCCCATATTATTCTTGGTCTGCCTCTTGATCTACGTCCCTGTCCTCTTTTGGTAAATGCCTTGTAGTGTATAGCATCAGAATGCATTTTCTCCTAGTAGGCAAACCATTTGATTTCCTGTCTTTGCATGTAATTTAGCATTGGTTCTATACCTACTTTAGCTCTTATGACATGATTTCTGATTTGATCTCTTCGTGTTCAATAGCTATTTTAAAAGACCTCGGGTTGGTTGAAATTTACCATATAATAGTTTAAACAAAATTTTTAAACTTTTAGAAGTGTTTGTTTAAGAACCCCTGTTTCACATGTTACTGCACTTTGGAGAACTGTTCAAATAATTATTACTTATGTAATTAAAACGTGTGGAGAGCGTGTACAGTTCGGAGGAGCAAATGGATCACCACAGTCTAGTGAGATTGATGTGGGGGGGGGGGGGGGTGACGAGAGGTTCTGGCAGATGCTCGAGGCTCAGAGGAAAGGCAAGACGGACATTTATTCAGAATGCTACTGGCACCATTAGTATCTGAACTCTTCGCTGGCTGCTGAAGATGGGGACAGAGCGCTTATGGGAGTGCCCCAAGTGCTGTTATGTCGGATCTTGAATCAAATTAAATCAAAATCATTTAAAATGACTAAGCGTATTCTAGGAGTAATAGAAATTAAAATAATAATTTGAAAACTATAAGATCATCAATCAGAAAATCGGGGATTTTAAACTATATTAATTCAATCATTTTTTAAATAAATGTTTATTAAATATACACTTGTTTCATCATAAAATGTCCAGAAACGTTAAAAGCTTCGTGTGACTTTAAGGTTCTATGAAGTTGAGGATACGTCCTGCGGCTTAAAGATGATTGCTGGAGCAACTACAACGGTTGCTTTGGCCACAGAGTAGAAGACTGAATACTGTTTAGGCATTATTAGAGCTACAAATAGCGCTCCTATTAAAGTGTACTAGGGTAAATATAAAACTTTAAACTTTTCTTAATATTTTAAGATGTCACACATGTGTATTCTTTAAATACTTCTTTTATCATACAGATAAAATCCCAGCAACCATTCTTGATGATCCATATTTGAAATGTTCACAGTGTTTGAGAACTGTTTAAAATAATTACAGTTGTTTAAAACAAATGTTTACAATGTTTGAGAACTGTTTAAAATTATTACAGTTGTTTAAAACAAATGTTTACAGTGTTTGAGAACTGTTTAAAATATTTACAGTTGCTTAAAACAAATGTTCACAGTGTTTGAGAACTGTTTAAAATAATTACATTTGTTTAAAATAATCAATTAAAAATTTTTTTGAATGTTTGAGAAGTAACATAAAGTGGTTGTTTTAGAAATAACTGAAATGGTCATAAGTGATCCAGAGCTGTTTAAGATGATCATTCATTTAAATAACTATTTAAGATGGTTAAAAATATTTGATAACTTTGATACCAATGCTCCTATGTAGGCACCATCCGATCTCTGTAAAGCAGCTCCTCATTTTGTGGGTTCCGACCCTTTTGTGGGTCGAACAAACCTTTCACAAGGTTTAGCTAGCACCATTTGAAAATAGATATTCACTGAAGTTATGAAGTAGTAACGAAAATAACTGTATGTTTGAGGGACGTCACGACATGAGGAACTGTATTAAAGCGTCGCCACGACATGAGGAACTGTATTATTAAAGGGTCGCCACAACATGAGGAACTGTATTAAAGGTCGCCACAACATGAGGAACTGCATTAAAGCGTCGCCACAACATGAGGTACTGTATTAAAGGGTCGCCACAACATGAGATACTAACTGTATTAAAGCGTCGCCACGACATGAGGTACTGTATTAAAGGGTCGCCACAACATGAGGTACTGTATTAAAGGGTCGCCACAACATGAGGTACTAACTGTATTAAAGCGTCGCCACAACATGAGGTACTGTATTAAAGGGTCGCCACAACATGAGGAACTGTATTAAAGGGTCGCCACAACATGAGGAACTGTATTAAAGGGTCACCACAACATGAGGAACTGTATTAAAGCGTCGCCACAACATGAGGTACTGTATTAAAGGGTCGCCACAACATGAGAAACTGTATTAAAGGGTCGCCACAACATGAGGAACTGTATTAAAGGGTCGCCACAACATGAGGAACTGTATTAAAGGGTCGCCACAACATGAGGAACTGTATTAAAGCGTCGCCACAACATGAGGTACTAACTGTATTAAAGGGTCGCCACAACACGAGGAACTGTATTAAAGCGTCGCCACAACATGAGGAACTGTATTAAAGGGTCGCCACAACACGAGGAACTGTATTAAAGCGTCGCCACAACATGAGATACTAACTGTATTAAAGGGTCACCACAACATGAGGTACTGTATTAAAGGGTAGCCACAACATGAGGTACTGTATTAAAGCGTCGCCACAACATGAGGAACTGTATTAAAGGGTCGCCACAACATGAGGTACTAACTGTATTAAAGCGTCGCCACAACATGAGGAACTGTATTAAAGGGTCGCCACAACATGAGGAACTGTATTAAAGCGTCGCCACAACATGAGGTACTAACTGTATTAAAGGGTCGCCACAACATGAGGAACTGTATTAAAGCGTCGCCACAACATGAGGAACTGTATTATTAAAGGGTCGCCACAACATTAGGAACTGTATTATTAAAGGGTCGCCACAACATGAGGTACTAACTGTATTAAAGGGTCGCCACAACATGAGGAACTGTATTAAAGGGTCGCCACAACACGAGGAACTGTATTAAAAGGTCGCCACAACATGAGGAACTGTATTAAAGGTCGCCACAACATGAGGTACTAACTGTATTAAAGGGTCGCCACAACATGAGGAACTGTATTAAAGGTCGCCACAACATGAGGAACTGTATTAAAGGGTCGCCACAACATGAGGAACTGTATTATTAAAGGTCACCACAACATGAGGAACTGTATTAAAGGTCACCACAACATGAGGAACTGTATTAAAGCGTCGCCACAACATGAGGTACTAACTGTATTAAAGGGTCACCACAACATAAAGAACTGTATTAAAGCTTCGCCACAACATGAGGAACTGTATTAAAGCGTCGCCACAACACGAGGAACTGTATTAAAGGTCGCCATAACATGAGGAACTGTATTAAAGGTCGCTACAACATGAGGAACTGTATTAAATTGTCGTGGCATTAGGAAGGTTGAGAACTACTGTTCTAAAGTGACTCTGTGGCAAGCTGAGAGAAATTAGAAGGCAAAGTTCTGTTACTGTAGACGGAGAGTTAATATGAGCTGTTTATTTACACGAGACACGAGAGAATGTGTGTGTGTGAGAGAGAGAGAAAGAGAGAGAGAGAGAGAGAGAGAGAGAGAGAGAGAGAGAGAGAGAGAGAGAGAGAGAGAGAGAGCGAGAGAGAGAGATCGAACGAATGATGAATACAGTTTATTTTGAAATAGTCACAAATTGGCATGCAGGTTGATCTGACATTCAGACATTTCCAATCCCCGTCTTTCAACCCAGAATGTATTTTTATCAACAAAGCATGCTATTTTTATACATTTAAACACATATTATGGGAAACATAATGGCTCTCTATCAAAATAGCCAGAGCGCTGTAAGAACAACGGAAGGTATGACAAACTGGTTCCCCATTACATCAGGAGTACGACAAGGATGTGTCCTATCACCCCTACTCTTCATCACATATATGGATAAAATTGCACAGGAGTCAAACCAAAACACAGATATTATAAATGAACTACTCTTTGCAGATGACCAATGTTTGTTACAAGAAGAAGAACAAAAACTACAACAACATGTTGATTCCTTGCTCACTAACTGTACAAAATTTGACATGAAAA